GCATGGCCTTCTCCTGAGGAATCTGGGACTACAGTCTTCCCCCTAGGAGGTGGGACACACATTTCTATGCTTCATTTGCCTGCTGACAAGACACATGGAGCTATGCTGATGGAGCTGGAGCCCTGTAGCTGGAGGAGTCACATGGAGACCCACTCGAGCACTGAGATGCTTCCACTGCCACTGGATCCACAAAACTTTCCACCCACTGGCTGGTAATCTTCCTGAATTTGGCAACATTGTATGTGCTGTGTGAGTCTGAAGAAGAGTTTACAGACTGCTACTGGACATATGGGCTAATATTGGAATTACTGACTGACATGAGCAAGACAACTCCATTTTGTTTTATTTTAAACGTTTAAATATTTTTGTTTTAAACTTTGTTTTGAATATCAGCAAGTGCACTGAAAAACAAGTACAAGGTTAGGAATTCAGAGTCATGTTATTTGTAAAAGTAAACAAACTTACATGCCCACTGGTGGAACGTATCAAAACTACAAGATAGGGCCATTGACATGATATGTGACTAAGCAGAGTTGTTTACCTTAATGTATTAAAACCCCGCAGGTGGCAGAAGAGCTCCAGTGCTTCTTCAATGCAGAGAGGACACCACGTCACACAGAGCTCCCACCAGAAAGGTAATCCACCTATGATGCATTGCCTGATATGTGACTGTGTGTGCCAAGGTTTAAGTTAGAATATATACTGATTATAAAATGTGTTATCCATTTAATGAATGAACATGTGAATTTAGCATCATGACATGTCTCAGGACTCAGTCCTTTTTGCATGCTGAAGACATGGACTGGCTCTGAACAGGGCATTGATGATTCCTTGACATATAATTACTCTTTAATATAAATCTCTCTATTATATACATATGAATTTGTTTCTATAATCAACCCAGACTAACACAAGGACTATAATTACATTTTCTCAAGAGAAAATTTTTATTTCTCTCTTTTTTTTAACTGAAAGCATAAAGTACAACAATGGAAATATCACCCTATTTGTTCATAAATTATGTCCATCAAAGATTAACCTATTATTGACTTTTCCCATTTCAAAGAAAGATGACCCCATAGAATAACGAAAGTATT